TGATGATGATGTTGACGAGGATGTTAAAGATGATTATGGTCAGGATGTTTTACTTAGCGTCTCGGGGCAGCGGCCCTGGCAACACGCCATCCCCAGTGAACGAACAGCGTGGCGCCCCGCTCCGTGGGACGGGAGACCAGGAAAGACTCAGGATGCTCACGTCTGGGGGCTGTGGTCGTGGCTAGTGCAGCGCGTCGAGACGTGCCGGGACAGAGACGGCTGTGCGACGCGCTAAGCCAGAAAGCTCCTGACCACGATGAGGTTCCTCCTCCTCCTCTTCCTCCGCCTCCCCCTTCTCCTCCTCCTCCTCCTCCTCCTCCCCCTCCTCCTCCTCCTCCTCCTCCTCCTCCTCCTCCTCCTCCTCCTCCTCCTCCGCGATGATGAGGATGATCCGCAACCGCGCTTGCAGCGGCAGGCGTGTGTCGGGCCCCCTCGCGCCCTGCGCAGCGAAAATTTTGTGAGGCCCCGCCGCCTCGAGCCCAAGCTGCGCTCCGTTTTTTATGGCCGCGCCCGTGTGCCGTTGGCCTTCCAGACAGAACACGTGTCTGACGAACCAACGACACACACCCATACCCATAGGGGGATCGGAGAGGGCTATGGGTGCGTGTTGTCGGATGGGGGTCCCCGCTCGAACGGGAGCGTTCCCCAGGGCCCGACAACCCGCACCCATACCCATAGCCAGTCCTCCTCCCAACGACCTCCCCATGGGTATGGGTGTGTGTAAATACGAGGTCGGGGGAGGGACGTTCCATGGATTATCCCCCCCCCCCCTCCGCGCCCGCACCCCCCCCCCCCCGGGGCGCCCGCCCGAGGCGGTGGCGGCATCGCGCGGCAGCGCCGGTGCATGCGTGTTCATCTGGAGGCGGCGTGCGGCAGAGGGAACGCGATGCGGACTCTTTGTTGGCTCCCGGTTCACGCCCGGTAAACTCTTGTTGGTCAATCGGCCTACCAGACCGAGCCAGCCGTCTTCAATGGCACAATGGATGATGCTAGAGTACACGCAGGCAAGCCCAGATGAAGCGGCATGCGACGGGTCTGGAGCTCCACCTCGGGTCACCGTCGCGGCAGTGCGGCTTCGAGGAGGCTGCCTGACAACAACGCACTACGGCAGAGCTACTCGTACGCTGCACGCAGCGTGTCAGCATCGGCCAAGCTATTTCACCCATGATGCGTCTTTTCAGATACGCCACCGTGCGATCGGCACTCTTGGGCGTCTCAGAATGGTTATCGGTTGCCTGATAGGGTTTCTGTAACGTTTCCCATGCCGACCCGCCCCTTTGCTTCACGAAGGGTTCGAGCATCGATCCCCCCGGCTTTGCACTTCAGAGTTCCCGAAAGAGCCGAATCCCATCCCGAAGAGCTGCTGTGAGGAACTCTTGGATCATGCGTGCCGCGGCGGCGGTCCCGGCGACACGCTGTGCCCTGAAGTGGACCGCGTGTCGCTCCGCTCCGCGGGGCGGGAGGCCAGGAGAAGCTCGGGACTTTGACGCTTGGGGACCGGGATGTGGAGAGAGTGTCGAGCCGAAGCGTGGTGGGCCAGATGAGGCGGCGCGACACGCTGAGCCACACTTCCCGACCGCACAAGCTGTCAAAATACAACCCAAGGAAGACGCAGCGAGACACCCAAGGGCTGCAAGACCTCCCCAGCGTACCCCAACAGGCCCCCATACAAGCCTCCGAGGGACGCCCGAAGAGACCTGCGGCGAGGCTCTCAAAGGCGAACAAACATGGAACGGCATGATGACAGAACATGCCGTTTGATTATCGCAGGGCGCAGGCTAAATAATGCTATCCGTGTTCGTTTTGTGATTGCTGTCCCTCGCTCTGTCTTCGTTCCGCTGTTGCCGCAAAACGATACCAAACCGAAAACGGTCCACGAGATCGCCAAACCACATTCTAGCTCGCGCCCTGGATCATCACGCTTTTCTGCTTCAGGTCGCCTCTGGAAAGCTCCAGATAGCCCAAGGTTGTGGATGCAATGACAATGGACACTCTAACAATCCGATCATTGAATCAAACATGAGTTTAAAATGTTGTAAACCATGTTCTAACAATGTACCAAACATGCTTCTACAGATTTCAGACATGTTTGAAACATGTTTTAGACATCTGGAAATTATTTGGCCATTACTCGACTTCCACAAGCCAAAGGAAGAACCGAAGAGTGCCCAGAACACGACCAGGAGATCCTCCAGACGGCCCCAGGGACTGCCAGAGGGACCCCCCCGAGCCGCCTGGACGTCGCCGACCTCCGAGCCCCTTCGGGAGAGCGTGCCGGGACTACAGTCGAACTGCTGCCGCAAGGAACCCTAAATGAGGAACGAGGCCCCTGTCTTCCACAAGTTGAACTTCGATTGCCCATGAAAGACCGAATGAACACCTAGAACAAACACAACACACCTAAGGAGCACCGAGCCCCTCCCCAACGAGAAGGGCTCCTTATGCAGCGCCCCGGCTGTATTGCGCCCAAGACGGCCCGGAGACCAGGGACGGGCCCCCAACAGGCCTGGAGAGGGCCCCAGAGGACCCCCCAGAAGTACCCAAGGAGGCCTCCAAGAGGCTTCCAGTGGACCGTCAGGAGGGCGGAGAAAGGGGAGGGGGGGAGGGCAAGCTAGGTGCGCTCGCGTCATATCTGACGTCCTACCCCTCCCTCCCATCCCTTACCATGGCGCTGATTTTCTCTATCCGCGGACGCGTGTCGTAGCGGACCGCTCCTGCGCGCGCGTGCGTCCTGTGGCTGCGTGCGGTGGTGCACGTGCGTGCGTGCGTGCGTGTGTGCGTGGTTGTCGTGGTGGTGGTGGTGGTGGTGGTGGTGGTGGTGGTGGTGGTGGTGGTGGTGGTGGTGGTGGTGGTGGTGGTGGTGGTGGTGGTGGTGGTGGTGGGGTGGTGGTGGTGGTGGTGGTGGTGGTGGTGGTGGTGGTGGTGTGTGGTGGTGTGATGGTGGGGCTGGTGGTGTGGTGGTGGTGGTGGTGGTGGTGGTACTGGTGCTGGTGCTGGTGGTGGTGGTGGTGGTGGTGGTGGTGGTGGTGGTGGTGGTGGTGGTGGTGGCGGTGCGGCGCGGTGGTGGCGGGCGGATGGGCGCGCGAGAAAAAGGCCCGCGCTGGGGCGAGAACGCCATCCTGAACGACGGAGGCCAAACACCGATCCGAAAATGAGGCCCACGCTGCAGCGGGAGCACGATTCGGAACGATTCGGGAGCAGAAATGAGGCCGGCGCCTCAACGAGAGCAGCATTTTGGGAAAAAATGACGCCGGCGCCTCAGCGAGAGTCGTTTCCCGGGATTTCCCGGGCATCCTGTGTGTAAAAAAACAGTACGCGGAGGGTGCGCGGCCATCACCCGGACGCCATCAGGGGAAGAGGGAGAGTATTTTCATATTGAGTAATTGTGGAAGGGGGGAAACGAGGATGAGGGGTGAAGCAAGAAGCGAGCGAGGCTCCGGACAGGGGAGTGGTGCTCAGGACACGCGCCAGTCAAGACGGGGCGGTGAGCTGGAGCGGGCCGTGAACTCCATATCCTTCCTGCCGGGCTGCTGGGCTCGCACGGCGGCGGTGCCTGCCGCAGGCAGCGGGATGCTGAGCGGCCGGGGAAGAAGGAAGTTGGAGGTTCCGTAGACAGCAGAAGTGGCCATGGCTGGACACACTGGCCGAGGCTGGAGCGAGCCCGAAGCATGCGGAGGAACCTGCGGTGGCCGGGGCTGGAAAGACTTCGGGGAAGCTGGCCGGGGTCACAACAAGAGAGCGGAAGGGTGGAGCCCGCCGTTCCGTCCAGCGCCCCGGTGCCTGCTCGACCCCCGCTCCGCACGGTGCTGCGACGCGCCATGGCTGGAACAGCGAGGCAGGCAGGCCATCGGGGCCGAGAGGGGGGCCACCAGAAAACAAATCCTCGCCAACTCGGCGGACAGGGCGAGTTCGCATGAACGGAGCGGGTCCTGAGGGAAACGGGTCCCAGACCCCGGGGCCTTCCCCCAGAACCACTTCCTCGTCCCGAGTCGCTGTCTGACGGTTCCGGTGCCCGTGAAGGGCCCCCTGAAGCCCGACAGCGGCGACAAACCTCAGGACCCGCCTCCCTCAGGACCCGCTTCCTTCAGGGCGAGGGGAGGAAAGCGCGGCCGAGCACGCTGGAAAAACAGCCAATCGGCCAGCGGCTGCCGCGCGCCGCTCGACGCCAGCGGCCGCGGGAGCTGAGCCAGAGCCGGGGCCGCGGTGTGCCGCCGTGGGAAAAGCGGCCGAGGAGCACGCCTGTGGCTGCGGAGCGCGGTCGGGGAGGCAGCAGGGAGGGGGGGGGGCAGAAGAGGTTGGCGGCGCGCACAAGGGGGGTATGGAGAGGGGGGGAGGCTTTTTAGAGGGAGGCTGCTTCTTAGAACGCGCGGGCCCTGTTTGTAGATGTCCGGCCCGCGCCTTCGAAGGAGCAGCCTTCTGCTAAGGAGCCTTCCACCCCTCCCCCATACACCCTTGTGCGCGCCGCCAACGAGAGGAGAAAAACACTGGATGGTGGCAGTTGGCGCCTTCAGGTATTAAGGTCAGAGCTGTCGAGGTACTTTGGTACACCTCTCTACGGCAGTGTTCATTGTCTGAGGGACCGTTGGCCGGCATGAGGGAATCAAGGAGGGGGAGAGAGGACGAGAAGGACGGCGAGGACGAGGACAAGGATAGGAGGGCGGGAGGATGATGCTCCTCGCCGTCGCCTTCCTCCGACCCTGCCTCCTCCTCCTCCTCCGCCTCCTCCCCCTCCTCCCGTTCCTCCTCCCCCTCCCCCTCTTCCTCCTCCTCCCCCTCCTCCTCCTGCTCCTGCTCCTCCTCCTCCTCCTCCTCCTCACTCCTCCTCTGCTCCTCCCTCTCCGCCTCCTCTTGCTCCTCTTGGCTCCTCCTCCTCTCCTCCTCCCCCACTCCTGCTGCTGCTGCTGCAAGCTCCTCCTCCTCCTCCTCCTCCTCCTCCTCCTCCTCCTCCTCCTCCTCCTCCTCCTCCTCCTCCGCGCGCGAGGGGGGCGAGCCCGCCGACGTCAAGGCGTGGCCAGCAGCAGCGGCGGGGGCCTCCGCTGCAGCGGGCTGCCGCTCCTCTGGCGAGCCGGATCCGCCGGGCCGCCGAGCGGAGCTGCCCCGCCACGCTCCAGCCCAGCCAGCCTCGGGGAAAGATACAGGGCAGCTTTTCATACATAGAATTTGTCCACAAATATGGGATGTTTTAATACATGACGAATTTATCAACAAATTTGATGCATGAGCTCATCGTTGTTTTTAATGCTAAATCCCTGCATGTTCAATCCATGATCCGCACGCGGAGCATGTATTAAAAACGGCCCTGTATGCTTAACAAGGACGGCGACGAGGAAAGAAGTTCGAGGATCGCCCACAACCCCGTCTCGACTGCAGCCCCAGGACGCTTAGGATGCGTGCCCCTCTCTAAAAGCTTCCAATTATCCTGGGTGTGACGGGTGGGTCGATCACTGCAGCCTCTGGATAGTCATCGAACCTCGCCGTGGCTGGGGGAGAGGGGGGTAGGAGCCTCTCTTTTAGGTTCTGGCAAGTTTACTCGCATGGCGTTCGGCCCCCCCCTCCCCCGCCCATCCTCAAACGAATGATTACTAGTGTGCATGTGCCTTTCGACTTGCGTGATTTCCGGATGTGCAAGCCGTTCGCAGCTTGCTTCAGGCTCAGGCCCCCCTCCCCGTCCACGCCGCAAGCAAACTTGCGGGGGACCAAAAACATGCCCTAGGGGGAGCATCGGGCGAAAAACCATTAAAGGGGCCCCAGGACACACACACACACACACACACACACATATATATATATATATATATATATAAATACACACGAATAAAAGGATTCCCCATATTTTCCCATATGTTCTGGGTTTTTGTCTTCCCCCACTCCCCATATTTTCCCATATCTTCCTGGGAATCGACGATGAATTGTGCCTGTGTTTCTTTCCCCCCTGAACCATGTCATACAGCCGATGCGCTGCCAGACGGAACGCCGACTCAGGAACGAGGGGGGGCACTCGCCACGGCGAGCCTCGGCCACGGACGGGTTCCCCGACCCCGAAAGCCGAGGAACGGCACGAAAACCAGAGCCCCTCCTGCTCCTCCTCCTCCTCCTCCTCCTCCTCCTCCTCCTCCTCCTCCTCCTCCTCCTCCTCCTCCTCCTTCTCCTCCTCCTCCCTCCTCCCTCCTCCTCCTCCTCCTCCTCCTCCTCCTCCTCCTCCTCCTCCTCCTCCTCCTCCTCGTCCTCCTCCTCCGCCTCCTCCTCCTCCTCCCTCCTCCTCCGCGGCAGGTCCTGTTCTCGGCGTCTTCGCTGTGCCTGCGGAGCTCCGCGCGGACTTGTGGGATCGGCGCTCGGGCCCCCTCCGGCAGTGTGCGGTTGGGCAGTCGGTGTTCCCCGAAGGCAGGACGAGATGGGCAAGAGGAGGAAGAGGAGGAGGAGGAGGAGGAGGAGGAGGAGGAGGAGGAGGCGGAGGAGGAGGAGGAGGAGGAGGAGGAGGAGGAGGCGGAGCAGGAGCAGGAGCAGGAGCAGGGACGACGAGGAGCAGGAGGACAAGGGGATGAGGGGGCTTGGGGAAATCGGGGAGGGGGGAAAGGTGAGATGGAGGAGGAGGGGGGCCGGGGGATGAAGAGGGACGAAGGAGAGCAGGGCAGGGGCGATGGAAGAGCTGGTCTCGAGCAACACCACAACACACAACAGTGCAGCAGCCCGGAACCTGGGCGGGAAGGAGGCCACCGTCGACGCAGTCGTGGAGCCCCCGTAGAGGGACCCCCCCCCGTAGACGGAGCCGGCGGCATCCCCGGGGAACGGCTGCGGCGAGCGTGGCGAGCCAGCCGGCGACACGAGGTTGCCGTCCTTGCCGAACTTCACCCTGCCCTTCTGGTACGCGTCCGCGAATTCCTCCCGGGTGATCCTCCCGTCGCCGTTGGCGTCCAGGTCCTCGAACGTGGTCGCCTCTGAGGTGGGGCGGGAGCGATGCCGTGGCGCGATTGGCTCAGACTGCGCTGCAGGAGTTCCGGAGTGCCCAGCGGCCCTCGCTGCTGCAGTCCGTGCAGAGCTATAAGAGGCACTGGGCATGTGATCTGGGGGATCTTGGCATATATCATTGTCGTGACCCCTTGCTCCTCTGATGAGGAGGGGGCCAGCTATATTCGACAGGCGCACCGAGTCTGGCCAGACCAGCCTGGGGAGAAGGGATTGGTGAACATACGCCCTCCTGGCAAGGCAAGACAGGCGAGTGCCACCGGCCGTCTGGGAGAACACGGCTTAGAGGAACATTTCTTCCACAACCTTTTTTTTGTCCGTCGGTGACTCCTCAATACTACTAAAGCACCCTCCCCCCTCTCGACCAGCCGACAACCAAGAACAATGAGGGCACCCACCTCTTTAGCCAAAGCGCAATACAAAGTGCACGTGGCGGCAAACATATGGATCATGGGCGGGCCCCCATCGAACACTTTTCCACAAAGGGGCTCTTATGTCGTTTGCTAACAAAAATGTAATTGGATTGACGAGGATTCGCCTGGTACCCGGTTGGTGTTTGGTCAGGGGGGGGCCTCGTGGACGCCCCTTGCGCCCGGTGGGCTTGTTGAGGTTTCGCCTGGTGCCCTATGGCGCCCGTTCGTGTGCGTCTCATGGGCGGTCCTTGCACTTCTATGTGTGTGTGAGTGTGTGCGGAGCTCGCTCGACATTCCTTGCACGTTTAGATTGCATCACATAGCTTGCATCACCTAGTTGGAGCAGCGTAGCGCTCAATACGTAGCTAGCAGCATATGGACTGCATAGTTTCCAAGCTGTGCATTGCATATTGAAGGTGCCATTGGACCCCACGCTGGCTGACATCTGCATAGGCATTTGCTAGGATGTCAGCATGCACCCACAGGACGGAAGCTGTTCCTCTCAGGCCAGGACATGATGCGTGCAGCTCTTGCGCCAGTGCGCATGACAGAAACATGTGTGGGTCTACCTGGTTTGGTGTGGATCCAACTTTGGTTTAGACTTGTGTTGGGGTGGATGAAAAGGTACCCCGCGTGGATCCGTTTTTGGAGGATGTGGATATGATGTTCGCCGTTATTTGTTTCCCCCTACCTAGGCTCTGCCTAGAAGGGTTCTTACAGTGTATGCTTAAAAGGCCTGGCAGTGGGGCCCGCCCCAGGCGGTTCCCCCAGTATCCGCCCCGCGGTTCCCCCAGTGACGTTCCCTTAGCTTCGCGTTGCTTATCTCATCTTAGCTTAGCTTGTTTCATCTTACCTTAGCTTAGCTTCATCTTACCTCAGTGTTATCTTAGCTTAGCTTACCTTCATCTTAGATTCGCTGACCTTTAGCATAGCAGAGCACAGCATAGCATAGCATAGCGCAGCATCGCATATCATAGCATGGGTGTAAATATTATCCGTATTATTATTATTATTATTATTATTATTAATATACCTCCTCCTCCTCCTTCTTCTTCCTCCTTTTTCCCTACCTAGGCTCTGCCTAGAAGGGTTCTTACCGTGTATGCTTAAAAGGCCGGCCAGTGGTCCTCGCCCCGGGCGGTTCCCCCAGTATCCGCCCCCCGGTTCCCCCAGTGACGGCCCCTTAGCTTAGCGTTGCTTATCTCATCTTAGCTTAGCTTATTTCATCTTAGTTTAGCTTAGTTTCATCTTAGCTCAGGATTATTCCCTACCCAGGCTCTGCCTAGAGGGTTCTTACACTGTTTGCTGAAAGGGGCCGGGCAGTGTAGGCCGCCCCAGGCGGTTCCCCCAGTCCCCGCCCCGCGGTTCCCCCAGTTGCGCCCCCTAGCTTTAGCTTCAGCTTTAGCTTAGCTTTAGCTTTAGCTTCAGCTTAGGGGCGGCGGGGCCCGCGAGGCGGGCGCACCGCCCGGGGCCGCAGGCGGCGCCCCCCCGCCCCGCGGCGCGCGCTGCGCGAGGAGGGGCGTGGCCAGAGCGGGCGGGGAGGCCCGCGTGCGGGCGGGCCCGCCTGCGCGCACGGGGCCCCGCGGGGCTCCCCGCGGGGGCACGGCGCGCGCGCGAGGGCCGCGCCACGGGCGCGCGGCGCGAGGCCGCACGCGGGCCGTGCCCGCGGGTGTGCCGCCGCAGGTGGGAGGAGATCCCCGTGGGCAGCGGCCTGGACGAGGAGTGGGCCCTGCCAGCCTGGCATCAGATCCCTGTGCCTAGGATCAGGGCCTTGCCAGCCCGGCATCGCTCTGTCTCGGTGCCGACCTCAAGGGTTCCCCCGACTTCCGCGGGCGCATCCCTGAGGCCGTTGTCGCCTGTGGGCTTGTCGACCTCAGGGGTAGGGATGAGCTCGAGGCGGGTCAATACTGGACCTGGCGGGGGGCTCGCATGCGGATGAGCCCACACTGGCGCCGCAAATTGGAAAGCCGCACGGGGCACGATCCGTGTGATGGGCGTGCAGCAGCAGCAGCAGCAGCAGCAGCAGCAGCTGCGGCAGCTGCGGCAGCAGCAGCGGCGGCTGGCGGCGTGAAGCAGACAGCGCAGCAGAAGCAGCGGCAGGCACGGGGAGGAAGGCGGGACTGGATGGAGGAGCAGCAGGCACGGCGGGGAACCTCCAGGACCAGTCAGTCTCCCCTGAGGGCCCAGTTGCTTCACGGAGACCTGTCCCTCTCTCCTCCCCTCGCCTCCGTGGCGGGTGCAGAACCAGAAGAGCGGCCCGGCGCAGACCCGAGAGCATTCCGCGCGGACCTCCGAGCGCCTCTGGCTCTCCCGTTGCCTCGTCGCCCATCCTCCTCCCTGGCGGGCAGCGGTGCAAAGGGGATCGTCGGCGCCCCCCGATCGCCTTCACCGTCTCCCGGATCGCGTCGACGCCCACGGGCCTCACGCCGAACAGCCTCACCTTCAGCGAGCCGGCGCCGCAGAGGTAGCGGCTCAGTGGCAGATCGACCTCGAAGCTCTCCTCGGGGCGATAAGGGCCATCGGAAAGCAAGCCGCGCCACCTCTGGAAAAAAGGCGTGGCTGCTGCACTGACAAGCACACGGGTAGCGCGCACATGCCGATAGGCGGCGACTGTCGCTATGGAGGCGGCGGCGAGACGCACAGCTTACCAGCCTCGAACGTATCCCTGTCCCTAAGATCGACACGCCAAGAGGCGATGACAATCTTAGGGATCCGCCCTCAAAAAATCAGGGAATCCCTAAGATTGGCATCGTGCTGAGAAGGTGCCCAGCATAGGGATAGGGATATGCTCCAGCACCACCTCGGTCGGGGCGTGGGAGGGGGGGCGGAGTCTCACTGCCGAGTGCGGGGTGGTGGCTGGCTCGGGAGAGGGGGAGAAAGGGCACCGAAGGGAGATGAGGGGAAGGACCTTCCGAGGAGGTCCTCCTCCTCCTCCTACTCCTCTTCCTCCTCCTTCTCCTCCTCCTCCCCCTCCGCCTCGTCTTCGTCCTCCTCCTCCTCCTCCTCCTCCTCCTCCTCCTCCTCTTCCTCTTCCTCCTCCTCCTCCTCCTCCTCCTTCTCCTCCTATTTCTCCTCCTCCTCCTCCCTCCCTCCCTCCCTCCCTCACTCCCTTCCTGGTTCTGCTTTCCTGGCCCAGGACTCAGAAGGGGAAGGAGGAGGCCAAGCGTCACGGGAGTCCCTGGCACGCGAAGCTTCGACCAGGTCCTCATTCGGGCGCGGCGTGCGAATGGCAGGGCAGCGTGCCAGCTGAAAACGATGTCTTGGCGCATGCTTGCATCACCCATGCAAGACCTGCAACACAGGAACTCATGGGAGCCGTTCGTCATGGCTGTCTTTGAGGGCCGCAAATGGCAACGAGCACGGCGAACAAACAAAGAAATACCGTGTCAAGGCGTAATAAGGCGAACTCGCATATCCACGAAACCTACGTTTGAACACGTTGTTCTCCAAAGCGTGCGGAACTTTGTGGTTTTCGTCTCATCGGTGCTGACCCGCCTTGGCGTGTTGCGCCAGGACACTCCCTTTTCAGGATGTTATCCTGCATCCAGGCCAGCGCCCACGTGAAAGTATAGACCAGTGCCACCGCGGTGTTCATAGCGAGCGGCCATGAACAGGAGCTCTGAAGGCGTCCAGGCCCCGATCGCGCACCATCAAGTCCGAGGCCCGAAAACCATCACTTCACCAATTTTGGGCCCCAGGGCCCACTGAGGCCCCAGGGGCCCCAGACTAGTGAAGTGATGTTTTCTCCCACGCAAGGGCCCCGAAACTCATCACTTCACTAAACCGAGCCCAGGACGAAAGTCAGGCAGGAGAGCCCAGGATCGGATCGACAAGTCGGATCGGCGATCGACATGAATCGGATCGTCGGAAATCGGCAGCTGAGTCGGGAAAAGTCGGATCGGCAGAAATCGGCAGGCTAGTATGCCTCCAATAAGAAATCGGAGCTCAAATCGGAATCCCAGATCGACTCGAATCGGAATCGGAAACCATCGAAATCGAATCGAATCGAATCGGAGGAATCGAAACGAGCCCTGGTCAGGGGCCGAATTGCTGCTGTGATGCCACATCGGCCTCGTATCAAGGTGCCACTGCCTGTGACGTGCTCGCGCGCAGGCGCGGAAGCCTGGCCAGAGCAGGACTCGAGGCGAGGCCGAGCTTAGGGTCCGCTGCGCGTGGACGGCGAGCGCGCGGTGAGCACCGCTCCGAGCACCAACGGAGCCAGACCCTGTTGAAGGGGAACTGGGACACACAAGTAAATGCACACAAATAAAACTATCCCCCATATTTTCCCATATTATGTGGGTTTTTGTCTCCCCCCCCACTGGGCCCCACTGCCCATATTTTCCCATAGTTTCTGGGAATTGCCGATTAATTGTGTCTGTGTGTTTTTTCCCCTCCTGACCTATGCTGAGCAAGCCCTGGGGTTCGATACTCTGACTGGCTGGTGACCCAGCCGGCCGGTGGAGCGGGACACGTTCGCCCCCCCCCAAAAAAAGGTCCTGATGGAATGGGGTCCTGATTTGATGCTCCGTCTGTGGCCTCCCGGGGCCCTCCACGGGTCCCAGGACCGTCACAGAAGGCACTCAAGAGGAAGAACTGGCCCAGGGGGAAAAGGCCTCGGTGTCCAGGGCCGTCTCCCACAGGACCCGCTTCCCTCATGCCAAGCACGCAGGGATCGCGTGCGCCCACCCTGCTCACGCGCAAGAGGGGAGCTTGGCAAGAGGAGGAGAAGGAGGAGGAGGAGAAGGAGGAGGAGGAGGAGGAGGAGGAGGAGGAGGAGGGGGAGGAGGAGGAGGAGGAGGAGGGGGAGGAGGAGGAGGAGGAGGAGGAGGAGGAGGAGGAGGAGGAGGAGGAGGAGGAGGAGGAGAGGGAGAATTGAACGCCAGCAGCGCCCGAGGAACGGGCGCCCCGAGGATCTGCAGAGGGCGCGCCCCCCCGTGCGCAACTGCCTATCCGCGTGCATTCGCCCGCCCCTGAGGCAGCCGCCGAGGCCCCTGTGCACCCTCGGACAGGCACAAGAAACTGGGCAGAACAGGAGGACCACGCATCGGCTTGGCGCGTCCTGGCTGCCTCCAGGCCGCCATCGCACGTGCTGTCGAGAGCCCCCCCCTTTCACTGAGGGCACCACCCGCGCGACAGGGGTGCCGGCGCAGCGCAAACTTCAACACGACCCACTGCATCCGACTCGGCGTCGATTGGCATCGCCAGCGAGGCGCAGGAGTTATGCCAATCGACGGCACGGCGCATCGCGGCGCAGCCCGCCAGGGGCTGTGCACACAAAAATCGGCCAGAAAAGGTGCAGGGCTCTTCCCCTCAATCGGAGAGATGCGGAGCCGACCCTCCATGGCGCAGGCTCGGGCCCTGTCGAACTGCACCGAAACGTGCTCCAACAAGGTCGGTGGCGGCGCGTTGGCGACCTGCCGCGCCGGGCGCGAGGCGGAGCCTCAGAGGGGCCGGGCCGTGGAGCTCCGACGAGGTCGCGAGCACCCGTTGGGGGCGGCGCGGGTGGCCCAAAGGGATAGAGGAGGCGACGAAGGGATGGAGGAGTGCGGACGGGGCGTTGACCGAAGGAACCCGAGGTAAGAACGAGGCCTCGTCTGTCCGTCAGTTCTAAGCTGCGACTCCCCGTCGAAAACCCAAGGGATACCTCGGGCAGGCTGTGGCGCAGTGAAGGAGCACCGGGCCCCTCCCCAACGAGGAAGGTTCCCTCTTCCGCGCCCCGACTGCACATGATGCAGGGAGGTCGACCAGAGGGGTCCGGAGGGCCGCGATACCGATGGAGCAGCTCGACGGCCAGACGAAGGAGGCGGGGGAGCGGAAGGCGGATACACCCTGCGAAATGCTTAAGAAATCATGGGTTAAGAAATTCATAGTCTCAGAACTGGAACAAAAACCCAACATTTCAATTAAAATCTTAGGATTTACATTGAAACATTAAGAATAATCGAGACTCTGGCCGAAAACTTAAGTTTTCTTAAGCATCGCCTAAGGTGTACATCAGCCATGCCCTGCACCTCTGGTCAAGCCAAGACAGCGCCGCCATCACGAAGCCCGCGAGGCAGAACACGAAGACCCCGAGGAGAACGCACTGCAACCAGCCCGCGCCAGCGCCGCAGCCGAGGGGAAGAACGACAAGGCCATCCTCGAGAACCGCGTAAACAGCATGACCAGCGAACCACGGCGCGAATGACGTAAGAATGCTCTATCTTCTGACCTGGGTCAATCCAGACCCGGGTCAGCAAGAGACCAAAAAACTGCAACGCAGGCCTTCGCAAACCCGGGTCGGCCAATCTGCGCGGCCGCCTCGCGGCCACGAGCGCCTCGCTGACCCGGGACAGCCAGAGGGGGTCTTCGCAGGATCCTGCAGGGTCCGGTGCCCTGGCGGACCCCCGTTTGCATTGACCCCCGTCTCTTGAGCTCCGACCGAGATGGACATCGCGCTCCGGGGGCGGCCAAGAAGGGGGTGTCCAAGAGGGGGGGGGGGTGCAAATCATGACCGGCGGCATGTGCGCGGCCCAGCGGGGGGGCCAGGGACGCGATGAAATAAGAAGAGGCGCCATGAAATCCGGGGAAATCTCGTGGCCCCCGCCACGATATATCCCCCCCCCCCTATAGTCATCACCCCCCTCTTTGCCGCCCCCGAGCTCTGGCGGAAGAGGCGGCCACGGCCATGGGCTGCCCGGGGCCGTGAGCCCCCGAGGGAAGCGCAGCGCCCGGCTCGGCAGAGTGCGGCGGGGGCCGTCTCGCGGGCCAGCGCCCGCAGCGCCAGAGGGCCTTGGCCCGCCGGCCTGGGGGGGGCCCCTCGAGCCGGCTGCCACGGAGGAGCAGGGGAGGGAGGAGGGGGAGCTGGACAACGAGGGGGGGAGGGGAGGGAGGAGGGAGGGGAGGGAGGAGGGAGGGGGAGGGATCGACCCGAGAAATGCTCTTCGACTTCGTTGCGTGTTCGTTGTCCCTCGTTGTGTCGTCAATCCGCCTCTGCTGCGGAACGGAGTCGAAACGAGCACGGCCCACGAAATCGCGAAAGCACCGTTTGGGTCGACCCCAGACAAGGAGCGGGGGGGAAGTGAGGACAGAGGACGAAATAGAAAAGCAACGGACTGTGGGGAGGAGGGGAAGGAGGAAGAGGAGGAGGAGGAGGAGGAGGAGGAGGAGGAGGAGAAAAAGGAGTCTCCCGCTCTTCCTCCTGCTCGTATCTTCCTCGACCATCATTCCATTCGTTCCTCCTCCTGCTCCTCCTTCGCCTCCTCCTCCTCCTCCTCCTCCTAACGCTGACGCTGACTCGTCTCCCCCTCCTATTATGTCTCCTCTTCCTCCTCCTCCTCTTCGTCATCCTCCTCCTCCTCCTTTTCCTTTTCCTCCTCCTCCTCCTCCTCCTCCTCCTCCTCCTCCTCCTCCTCCTCCTCCCCCTGCTGTTCCTCCTCCTCCTCCTCTCGCTCCAGCTCCTCCTCCCATCCCTTTCTCCACTCTTCCGCCTCCTCCGCCTGCTCCTCCTGCCTACAATTTTGCTGCCCCGATGTCCGCAGTGCCGAGCCAATCCTGCCCAACCGACAGCGTGGCCTTTCCGAGGAAGCTGACCTTTCCGTCCCTGGGATGGGCCTGCGAGCTGTACACCTTGCGACCAGCCGGAGGACGAAGAAACTGAGGATGAGGAGGGAGGAGAAGGACACGGTGGACAGAGCAGGAAGAGCAGGATGAGGCGAGGGAGCGGGGGAGGGAGGCACCAGGGGGGCGAGACGGGCGGCGAAGAGAGAGAGGAGAGCAGGAGAACTCAGGCACGCGACGTCTTGATTTCTTGCATAAGCCGTCTCCAAAAAGTCCTGACCCTTTCCCCTTGGCCGGTGTTCATGACCGAGTCGATCTTGACGGTCCCGAGGCCTGGCGAGGGCCCCCGGAGGCCGAAAACAGCCAAAGGCCTTCCGTCGTGATGTCTGTCACGAAGCGGGCAAGTCCGAGGAGGGAGGGGGAGGGAGAGAAGCAGGGCAAGCAGGACGGTGATGACGACGAGGGAAAGGATGACAGGAACCTCGAAGTCGAGCTTGCGCCCCCTGACGGCGTCGAAGCACAGCCCGTGGCCGGACTCCCACACTGGGCACGGGTCTCGCCTCCAGAGAGGGAGGACGCGGGAGGACTCGCTGTCGGATTAAAGATACCTGAACCTGCCTTTACGGATGAGGCGGTCTTCGGCTCGGCGAGGTACTCGAGACTGTGAGGCAGCTTGCGGGAAATTCGTGCTGCCAGAACCCAGTGATGGGATGGCCGAGACCTAATGCCAGTGGCCGTGGTGAAGCTAGTCTACGGGGGTTGTGCCACTGGCAGTGGTGGACTGAGCCCACGGGGGTCATGTGTATCCGAATGCACCAAGATAAGGTTTCAACCAGGGAAGGGGAATGAGTCTTGGGAGGCAACTGCTGGAGGGCATTCGTAAGATTGATCCAGGGCTACTAAGCCAGAGGAGAATCCGAATAGCGCAAGGCCCCTGATGAGGCTGCCCTCGATCCGCTCAACACAGGGGTCAAGCTCACGCACTCCTCCTGGGCCTGACCTCGAGGCCAGGAGGGTGCGAGTCGTTGCAGAGCGAGCACGCTACACCTACTCGGCACCCATTGCGGGACGGGCGCTTGCCAGGACAGTGGGGGGGAGAGGAGGCGAATGGGGGGGGGAAGCGAGGGGGGAACGGAAAGGGGCAGGAGGAGGAGGGGGAGGAGGAGGAGGAGGAGGAGGAGGAAGAAGAGGAGAGGAGGAGGAGAAGGAGGAGGAGGAGGAGGAGGAGAAAGAGGAGGAGGAGGAGAGGAGGCTCCAGTACCCGCACGTTTGCACCAACCCTCTGTCCTCAGGATGAGAGACCCTGGGGCCCGGACGGCGCGAGGTGGGTATCCACAGTGTCCCCTGCAGAAAGGGCGAGGAGGAAGAGGGGGGGTTGGAGGGGAGGCTCCCGAGAAGCAGATGGGCACTATGAGGAGGAGGAGGAGGAGGAGGAGGGGGAGGAGGAGGAGGAGGAGGAGGAGGAGGAGGAGGAGGGGAGGAGGAGGAGGAGGAGGAGGAGGAGGAGGAGGGAGGAGGAGGAGGAGGAGGGGAGGAGGAGAAGGAGCTCTGGGGTCTGAGGGGCACGCGGGGGGAATCCGCAGGAGGGAGGAATAGTGAGCAGGGAAGCAGGGAAAAAGGGGGGGGGGGGACCGAGGAGCGAGGAGGGAAGCGGAGGAGGAGGAAGACGAGTGGTGCTGGGTGCGGGAGCGGTAAGGATAAGGTGGGGGATGCGGGAGAGGGAGCTCTTTGTTGGGGGGACGACGGAGAAAGAACTGCAGCCTCCGGGCGGTCTCGGCGGCGTCGACCTTCTGACCCCGGATCCTGCACCTGCAGCAGAGTTAGGCCCTCCTCCTGCTCCTCCTCCTCCTCCTCCTCCTCCTCCTCCTCCTCCTCTCACCATCAGCCATCATCACCAACAAATGCCATCATCGCATCACCGCGCCTCGTATCCGACATCATCCCTCGCTCACTCTCCTCAACCCGAGACCCTCTGTGTCTTACTACTTCGTCGCCCCTCCCCCTCATCGCTACTTCTCATAATTCTCCTGCATCATCCTCATTTTGCTCAAGCCTATTCCTGCTCCTGCTCCTGCTCCTGTTCCTCTGGTCCTCCTCCGCCTGTTCCTCAAGCCTCCTCTACCCTCACATCTCCTCCCCAAGCCGCATTCCGCCCCATCTTCCTCATCCATCTCACACGTCCTCCCTATCATCGTCATATCGTTCACTGCACCGTCCTCCTCTTCCTCGCTTCCTCTTCATCCTCCTCCTCCTTGCACGGATCTTCCGCCACCCTCTCCTCCTCCTCCTCCTCCTCATCCTCCTCATATTCCTGCTCCTCCTCCTCCTCCTCCTCCTCATCATCATCATCATCATCATCATCATCATCATCATCATCATCATCATCATCATCATCATCATCATCATCATCATCATCATCAGCATCATCATCATCATCATCATCATCATCATCATCATCATCATCATCATCATCATCATCATCATCATCATCATCATCATCATCATCAGCATCATCATCAGCATCATCATCATCAGCATCATCAGTACCAGCATCACCAACCCGCCTAAATAGTTATCGTCATCGGCCTTGGTTCTACACGTTCCTTGACCACCCTCTTCCTCAAGGTCGACGTCCTCATTTGTGCACTCCTCCTCCCTGCATCCCTTCACTCCCAATCTGGGGATAAAAACTGCCAACACCGCTACTCCCTGGACCTCTCCTGGGATGCGTTGTGACCAGAATTTCGACCCTGGAGTCCAGCGGCTTCCGTTGCATTGCTTGTCCCCGACGCCAATATGTCAGGTCTCCTCCTCCTCGTCCTCCTCCCCCCCATCCGTCTGGCATTTAGTTGGTGTCAAAACGCTGGGGATAATGTGTTTGAACTTTAACGGGAAACAACAACGCCACAAAAAAGAAAACACACGGCAATACAAGACGGGACCGAACCGGAAACGGCGCGAACGAGAATCTCGAAGCGGGGTAAACAAACGGACGCCCAAACAGGGGTTGGGGGGGAAGCCTCGATCTTGAAAACTGAAAGAATTACACCAGAGAAAAGCCCCAATCAATGGATGGTTTGAAATGGGATCGATAAAGATATCGATAAGGAGATCGACTGGAAACCCGGGAACCCAGAATCCCGGAACCCATCGAGATCAGAACCAATAACCAAGGACCCGGGGACCCAGAACCGGGAACCCGGGAACCCAGCCGGCCACCCAGATCGGCGTGACACTTTCGCCAAGTCTTTTTGGAGGCAAGGCTAGACGGAAAACCATCTGTGCAGACGAAATAGAACTCAGAGCACGCAAGGTCGCCTCAGCACGCCTGGGCTTAGCTGAGGGCGACGGCGGCAAGGCGAACCTTCACCCGCAGACGCTTTCGCGCTCTCACCTCCTCGCCAAGTCTTCCAATATCCCCCAAGACCCCCTCCATGCAAGCACCGACCAGGGAGCAAACACGCTCCCAGTTGAGCAGGGACCGACCGTCCCGGCATTCCTATAGTCCTACCACGAAATGTTCTTAGAACCCAAAGATGTTCTCATAGCAAGAACAGTATTCTTAAAACATAAGCCTCATGCGTTCAAACAAGACAGTCCCAACCAGAAATGCTCAAAGCACATTCTGTGGAAACAACAAAAAAGTTCTTAGAACATTGTCCGGTAGGGCTCTAGGCGAGCCGGGACGCTTCGCCACTGCTTGAGAGAAGGGAGAAGACGAAGGCCCTCTCGGGAGGGTCGGACGTCCCCCGGCCTCCTGAGGAGTCTCCGAGGCCCTCCCCGGAGGCGCACGACAGCTGCTCAGGAAGCGCGAGGGCTTCGGAGAAGTCCCGCCCGCCTTTTGAGAGGGCCTCCTCCTTCTCAGTTCCCCCGCCCCCCGCCCCCTGGCGCCGACGATGCCTCCTCCTTCTCCTCCTCCTCCTCCTCGTCCTCCTCCTCCTCCTCCTCCTCCTCCTCCTCCTCCTCGTCTCCTCCTCATCCTCCTCCTCGTCTCCTCCTCGTCCTCCTCCTCGTCCTCCTCCTCGTCCTCCTCCTCCTCCTCCTCCTCCTCCTCCTCGTCTCCTCCTTGTCCTCCTCCTCCTCCTCCTCCTCCTCCTCCTCCTCCTCCTCCTCCTCCTCCCTCCTCCCTCGCTCGCCGCGGAATCGCGTCCCCCACTGCTTGACCCAGCGCCTCCGACACCATCCTCCTCCAGGCGCCTGCAGAGGACCTCGGAGGCCCGCAGACCCCCTGGCGCCGCCGCGACTCCTCCTCCTCCTCCTCCTCTCCTCCTCTCCTCCTCCCTCCTCCTCCTCCTCCTCCTCCTCCTCCTCCTCCTCCTCCTCCTCCTCCTCCTCCCTTCCTCCTCTCCTCCTCCTCCCCCAAGGCGCCTGCAGAAGACCTCGGCGCCCGCGCCCCCGGGGGGCAGATCCCTGGCGCCGACGATGCAGAGGCCCGCGCTCGGGCCCAGCGGGCGCAGCGCCTCTGCGGCGGCTCCCGCCGGGGGGGGGGGGCGCCGAGGGGGGGGAGGAAGGGGAGGGAGGAGTGAGGAGGAGGAGGAGAGAGGAGAGGAGGAGCAGGGAGGAGGGGAGGGAGGACCCGCTCCTTCTGCGGCCCCGCCCGCCGGCGCCCCCCCCCCCCGGAAGGGGGGGGGGGGGGGGGCAAAATGGGGCCCAGGGGCGCACAAACAAATCTACAGGGCAGCTTCTGATACATCGGAGTTTTAAAAAATATCGGATGTTGCATCCATGCCTGGTGTATGAATAAGGTTATGCGTGAACTATGAACTCATCGCTGTTTTTAGTACTAAAGCCCTGCATTCTCAATACATGATCCGCACGCGGAGCATGTATAAAACAAAACAACGGCACTGTACACACACACACACACATCCCAGGACTCCCCATCTGTTCCAGCACTTCCTGGTGTGCTTGCCTTCCCCCCGCTGCCCAGAGCTTCCCATGGCTTCCGAGGGTTCGTCGAAGACTCGTGTCCGTGTGTGTTGTTCCCCCTCGCTGAGAGGGGTGGTGAGCAGCCCAGATGCGGCGGCGAGCCCTTTGGCCTGTTGCATCAAAAACCTGATTACGTGGCCCTTGGCGCTGTCCGAGAGGGGCCTGAGTTGTACCGGTTCGCCCCGTCACGGGGGAGACGAGGAGAACGAGGAGGGAGAGGAGGAGCAGGAGGAAGGGCGATGAGGAGCAGGGGGAAGGGCCAGGTGCGGTCCGAATGCAGGGAAACTGAGTTCGATGTCGCCGCCCCAGGCTCCCATGAACAGACGTCAGAGGGCCCAGCGGGGGAGTGAGAGGGGGCGGGCCTTCTCAGAAAGCGGCGGGCCTGCTCAAAAGACCTCGCGCCTTCTGATAAGTCTTGTAAGCATGATCCTAAAGCACAAACGTATTCTCAGAAAACCAAAGGGCTTCTGAGAAGCCCCGCCGCCTCATGAAGGCCTGCATTCCCTAACTTCCGACGCCCGAGTTCGCCGCCGACAGCATACTCGCTTCGTGAAAGCTCACGACTGGCGATTCTTGACCAGTGTGCGCCCCCGAGGGCCATCGCTGGCCCCCGGTGCCATCACGAGAGGGCTCGGGATGAAAAACTTGCCCTGGGGAACGGGTCTGGACTTCTGAGGACCCCGTAATGAAACAAATCAGGACACGGGGTGTCTGGGCGGAGCAGGCGGATGAGCCAAGCACTTCCAGGGGGAAGGGGAGAAGGGGGGGTGGACGAGGCGGACGGGCAAGAAAAATAGGTAGGGGGGGATCGGCAGCAGGACAGGGAGGATGAGGAGGACGAATAGAAAGAGGGCGACACAGGCAGCGAAGAAATAGAGCAGGAAGATGAGCAGGAGGAGGAGGAGATGGGAGAGGAGGGTGGGAGGACTGATAGGAGGGACACGGGCCAGCAAGGAGATGAGAGAGGACAAGAGAGGGAATACACGATCAAACACACAAATAAACCAGCAGCATTAGCGGAAGAAAAGCCCGCTGGCATTCACATGGGACAGCCCGCTTCAAGGACAGACAGGCAATCACATGGGAAGATCAGCCCGCACTTCCAAGCAGAACCTCTAGAAAAGAAGGCGGGGGAGGCGAGGAGCAGGAGGGAGGAGAGGCCTGGGAGCATGAACAGTTATCATGATGGGGACCAAACATGCCTGGGAGAAACACTGGACCCCAGGGCTTCCCCCCAGACCAGCGTTTCATCATCCCGAGCCGTCCTCTGGCAGCCCCGGAGCCCAGGAAGCGCCCCATGGAGGCCGAGCAGACATGGCGCGAAACCTCGGAGTCGCTGCCCCCAGGGACTCCTGTCTCATATGGGCGGTTGCAAAAAGAAGCCTGCATCAAACATTCGGAAGACGCTCCTGGGAGCCTTTCGTAATCACCCGAGGGGCCGCAGTGGCTTCTCCGATGGCCACCATAGGACCCCAGCGCCCCCCCGCAAGCCTGGAGCCGCCTCCCGCGTCTCCTCCAGTGGCCCCCCCGTGGCTTCCAGCGGCCTCCCGCAGTCCCCAGGGGCCTCCCGTGGCGCGAGCCAAACGACTGTGGACCACTGGGAGCGCGGGACAGCCAGGCCAGCTGACAACGAGAGGCTCCGAGGCTCCCCGGATCGTCCTCTGAAGAGGCGGGGGCCGTGGATGCCCCCCCCAAAGACGAGGAGGCCACGGCCCGCACGCCAGGGAATCGGGGAGCCCAGCGGGTGACACTGGACGCCAGAAAGGTGGTCTCGTCTGTTGCTCTTCCGGGATCGTCCTCTGAGTCGAGCATGCTGGTCCCTCGGTCTCTGCCTCCCCTGCCTCCCGCCGCCTTCCGCTGCCGCGGCCGCCGCCGCTCTGCTCCCATGGGGCCCCCGCGGGCTCTCTCCGCCGCCTCCCGCCGAAGGGCGGAGAGGCGCCGAGAGGCGAAGCCGCCGCCCCAAGTCGGGGGCGAACGAGGGGGGGAAGTGAGCAGGAGAAGACTTACAGTCGGGGCGTCGACCTAAGGAACCCTAAATAAGGAACGAGGCCCCTTTTTTCCATAAGTTAAACTTCGATTTCCGATCGCGCGGAGCCCATCCCCAACCAAAACGGTTCCTTCTTCAGGGCCCCGGCTGTAGGTCGGGCGTGTCCCCCTACAGGCGGATTTTGGACGAAAATTACAAATGCCAGAAACATGCCCCAAACATATTCAAACATACGATTAAAAAAAAAACAAAAAAAAAAAAAGTCCGCGGACTATTCTTATACTATGTTTGAACATGCCCCCTGTAGAGGGACGCGCCCGACTTAAGAGAAGACCTGCTCAGAAGGCGACGGGACTTCTCAGAAACCCTCGCGCCTGCTGAGAAGTTTTCTGCCTGCGACTTCGGGCAAGGCTCGGAAAACTTCTCAGAAGACCCGGGGACTCCCGAGCCTTCTGAGAAGGCCCGCCCCTTCTCACCTCCCCCCCGGGCTCGCCACTGATTAAGATCCTACCCCGCAATACATGCAGCATCCCGGGAAATCATGACCAGAGCCCTGGACCTTCCTACGGCATTTCTTTAGCCGGATCGATCAGTGAGGCTCTGTGGGCCCGACACTGGGCGAAAGCGCCAGGTGCGAAGAGAGTACGACGCCTGGATCTCAGGGCTGCCTGAACGCCCCATGTCCCCCAAGTGCCGAAACTGCAGGGTTTTCGCGTGGCGGGCCCTGGGAGGCGATGCTCGCTCGACACTTCGCAAGCGTGTCGGGCAGACACTGTTTCGATACACTCTTCTTGAAGGGGCCCTTGGACACACAAATAAATACATACAAATAAAAGGATTCCCCATATCTTCCCATATTTTCTGGGTGTCTGTCTTCCCCCCCACCTCCTATATTTTCCCATATTTTCCTTGGGATCGACGATTAATTGTGTCTGTGTGTTTTTTCCCCTCCTGAATATCTTCTGGGATGTGGCCCACAGGCGCGATGAGAACGGCATTCGGAGAATGAAGGGGCGAAGATAGGGGGCAAACAAACCTACCTCGCTTTTGACCACCCTCGCTTCCATGAGATACCAAACGATGCCAAACTACGGCCTGTACTGGTCAGGCGACTTGACGAGGAGGCGTGTGGTATGACTTGGTTTTGCCTGGAAGCGAAAGCGGGGTAGGTAATTCACGCTCCGAGAAGAGGCGCACAAACAAATAAGTACACACAAGTCCCAGGATCCCCCGTATGTTTTGCATACTCTCTGGATGCTCGTCTTCCCCCCCTACTTCCCATATTTTCCCATATCTTCCTGGGGATCGGCGATTCCTTGTCTGTGTTTTTACCCTCCTGAGAGAAGGCCGAGTTGAGCTTGGGTGACCCCAATAGGGGTCCAGCTGAAAGGGGGTGGTGCGATAGGTTTGGGAAAATTGTATTGCAAGTGTATTGCGCTGGGGGACTGTATTGCATTGTATAGCAAGTAATGTACTGCACGCGAAAATACAGCAATGCATTTGCGCCCCGAAATGTATTGCACGCCACACTTGCATTGCAACCCCACAAATATATTGCACCAAATCTATTGCACCTCGCTGGACCCCCTTTTGAATCAACCCGATTGAGACACCCGAGGCACTCCGACTCCGTCCCCGGCCCCCCCCGGGGCCCCGGCGCACCAGTTCTTTCCGAGCTGCGGGTCGCAGCCTGGGACCCCCCGAAGGCCAACTGCCAGTGCCTCAAATGCTCGGGAGCCTTGAGACGGGGGTCAACGCAAGCGGGGGTCAGCCAGAACGCCCGATCTTGCAGGATCCTGCAGGGGCCAGGGTCGCATTGGCCCGGGTTTGGGTGCAGGGTCCTGTAGGATCCTTCGCATTGACCCGGGCTTGAGTGCAAGATCTCGCAGAATCTTGCAAGATTCTGCAAAGCCTGACTGACCCGGGTCTGGACTGACCCGGATCAACAACTCCCCGAAATTTGAGCAGGGACCGACCGTCCTGGCATTCCTATAGAACCCAGAAGATGTTCTAAGAAACCAGAACATTTTCTGAGAGCAAAAACAACGTTCCTAGAACAGAACCCTGGTGTGTTAAGACAAGACAAGACGGACCCAGCCAGAAATGTTCTATGAACATTTCGTGCACACCACTACAAAGGTTCTTAGAACACTATTTGATGGGCCTATGGGCGAGCCAGGACGCTTCGCCACTGCTTGACAATGGTCCTCCGCTGAAAGAACAGACGAGGTGCACACGGCGAATGCCCTGAACCCAGAAACACTTTCATCTCCTGGGAACGCATCGTTTACTTCCGCCGCCTTCCGCCAGCCTTCCGCCGGTGTCCACTGGCGGAGGCGCCCTCGTTCTACTTCAGCCGACCTTCCGCCGGCTTTCCGCTGCAGAAGAGATGGTAACACCTTCTACCCTTCGGTCGGGCATGTCCCCCTGCAGGCGGATTCTGGAAGAACGCTGAAAAAGCATCAACCACCGCCAGAAGCGGTCGAGAAGAGATCGTGACATCGCCCCCGGACTTTTTTGGGGGGGGATATCTCTGGAAATTCCTCCTCTAATTAGACCCTGATGGTCCGCTACCGAAAATTTCCGGTAGCGCTCCGCAGAGATCGGTCGCTACCGAAATACCGAAATGTAGCGCCCAATACCGGTATCAGACCGTTCCGAAATCCGCTATTTCAACGCCCTCAAACGAAGATCCGGTCGCTACCGAAATTCGGGGTGCGTCGAAATCGCTACCGAAAATTTCCGGTACCAGACCATCTGGGTCTAATTAGAGGGACAGGCCCGATTTCACTCTGCCCTCGAAGGCGGGGCCCTTCCTGGAACGCCCCGCGCGCCGGCGGCGCCCGCCGGCCCACGACGGAGCCCGCCGGCAGCGCCGCGGGAGAGCTCCGCGGCGGGCCCGACGGCCACGAGCGGAGGCCCTCCCAGCACGAGGCGCAGCCGGGCGCCTGGCACGCAGAGGCCGCCCCACCCCCCCTGCTCCTGCTCCTCCTCCTCCTCCTCCTCCTCCTCCTCCTCCTCCTCCTCCTCCTCCCCCTCCTCCTCCTCCTCCTCCTCCTCCCCCTCCCTCTCCTCCTCCCTCCTCCTCCTCTTCCTCCTCCTCCTCCTCCTCCTCCTCCTCCTCTGCGCAGAGGCCGCCTGGACGGGGTCCGAACAGGTTCGAGTACAGTCGGGGCGTTGACCTAAGGAGCCCCAAAGAGGGGACGAGGCCCACGAGTCAAACTTCGGTTCCCCATCGAACACCTGAGGACAACCTGAGGCGGCCTGCGAAACAATGAAAGAACACGGAGCCCCTCCCCAACGGAAAGGGTTCGTTGTTCAGCGCCCCGACCGTAGGATATCGACTACAAGATTGCCTCATCCCAGAAGTAAGCACCCTTGTCGAATGTACTACAGATGCGTACACGCACCATGCTCGTAGATCCGCGAGCATGATGCGTATTCGCCGTAGATCCGGCTCCTCAAACAATCAGGGATAAATCAAGTCGGTATAGTCGATCTCCCACTCGAAAACGGCATGGGACTGGAGGATCGCGCCGCATCGCCGATGCATTGGCGACGTCGTCGATTCATCGGCGACGCCGGTGCGGAGCAACCCGTGGCTCCACATCTGGCCGCATCGCCAATGCATCGGCGGTGCGGACCCCGACCCCATCTACTCGGACCCCGCTTGAGCGACGAGAAACACGGGCCTTATGCAGAATGACACAACGACCCTACGCGGTGGCTTACGCAGGTCGCCAGCGCGGCGTCGTTGCGGGGCACCGCCGGCCTGGCGACCGAGCGAACACGGCAGCGTGCCGGCACGGCATGTTTCTCTGGAGGGTGCTGCTGGTCTGCCGCCAGGGGCGGTGTCCAGCAGGTCGGGAGGAGAGCCCAGAGTCGAAGCGATAAGTCGGATCGGCGATCGACACGAATCGGTTCTCAGAGGAGGAAAAAATAACCCGTGCCTTTTCCTCGTTCTCCCCTTTTGGGGCCTCCTGGGAGGCCATCGTCGCCACCGCTGGATCCGGCTCGAAATCCTCAGAACGCACCGCGGAAAGGGGGCCGGGAGTAGCCGTACATATCGGTACCTTTTGGTTTACCCAGGATCGGCGGAGATAGGCCGCCACGTCGGGGAAGTCGAATCGGCGGAGATTGAGGCTAATGAGGCCTCCGTCGGGACACCAGAGTCCGGATCGGAATCCGAAGCCGACTGGAACCCAGATCGGTCGAAGTCGAAGCAAGTCGGAGCAGTCGAGATGAGCCCTCTGGCTCGGAACGCCCGGCGTCGTCCAAGTCCGGCTGCCTCGTCGCTGGGCTGGCCCCCCGCCCAGAAGGCCAGAGGCACCAGCCCTTCTCGCTTGCGGGGGGCGGGGGCCAGCGCGCCCTCTTCTCGCCCACCGCTGGGGCGGCCGCGGGGCCGTCCCTGTGTGGGACTGCGGGGATGGCAAGCAACCACAACCACGTCGAGGACGCACCCTGGGGGATGTCCTGCGCGTGCCTGCAGTCGTCAGTGCTGGTCGTGGTCGATGTGGCGTCCCGGGGCAGCCAGACCGACCACAACTACGACCAGCGTGTCCATGGTGAGGACGGTGGGTTCTTCCCCGAGGGGCCCTCTAATAAAATGCACCTAGTTGTGGTTGCGTTCGGAGGCAACTCGTGGGATCCTCCCATGCCATCTGGTTGGCGCTTGCGAGCCGACGCTGCTCGACGCTAGTCGACGGCAAATCGACTCAAAATGACGCCAACCGACGCTCGTCGACGCTAGGTTGGCGCGAAATCATGGATTACCAGACGCGAACCGACGCTAGTGCACTGGACGGAATTACGAAGATACACAAGGCTCCCATGATCGGGAGCGGCCAAGAGGGGGGTGTCCAAGAGGGGGGGGGGGGGGGGCGAAAACCATGGCCGGCGGCATGTGCGCGGCCCAAGGGGGGGGGGCCTCAGGGACGCAATAAAATAAGACGAGGCGCCATGACATCTGGGGAGATCTCATGGCCCCCGCCACGAAAATCCCCCCACCCTAGTCATCACCCCCCTCTTTGCCGCCCCCGACATGACTTCAGGTCCTCCTCCTCCTCCTCCTCCTCCTCCGCGGACCCGTCCACGGACAGATCTGGCCGCCGTCGGCCGCAGGGGGGCCCCTGCTGGAGCGGCACCGGGCAGGCCCGGCCTGCTCCGCGGGCGCTCTCAGAGCCTGCGAGCTCCGCACGGATGGGCCTGTTGTCCACCACCACCATCACAAGTTGGAGGGGAGGGGGTGCTCCTCCCCCTCCTCCTCCTCCTCCTCCTCCTCCTCCTCCTCCTCCTCCTCCTCCTCCTCCTCCTCCTCCTCCTCCTCCTCCTCCTCCTCCTCCTCCTCCTCCTCCTCCCTCCTCCTCCTCCTCCTCCTCCCCTCCTCCTCCTCCTCCTCCCTCCTCCTCCCTCCTCCACCTCCTCCTCCTCCTCCTCCTCCTCCTCCTCCTCCTCCACCCCTCCTCCTCCTCCCTCCTCCTCCTCCTCCTCCTCCTCCTCCTCCTCCTCCTCCTCCTCCTCCTCCTCCCTCCTCCTCCTCCTCCTCCTCCTCCTCCTCCTCCTCCTCCTCCTCCTTCCCCCCTCCAACTTCTGGTGGCGGCGGTGGAAAGCAGGCCCATCGCACACGCTTGACGGGCATGCACACCGAGGCAGCCGCTGCCTCCGCTGTTGCGCGTCTCGCCAACCCGCCGACCTCGCACCTCCCAAGCATGCGATGTCCTTGTGTTTTCCGTACGCGGCCCCGGGAAGTCCAAGCCCTTTACCCAGTTAGGGAGCCCACAAAAGACGTACGCGCCCAGCTATGTACATGAACACGGCCCCTCGATCCGCGAGACCGGCCGCGTTATACAAACATTTGCGCAATGCGTACTCTCGAAACCAGCGTGGATTCATGTACATGTACGTCCTTCTTTCGCTCCTGACCAGTGCCGGTGTTTCATCTTGTCGACGGTCCCAGATGCCGAAGACGGCCAGCAAGTATGTGTCGTCCAGAACACGGAGGAGCGGCCGACCTGGACAGGGGCTCCTCGTTCTTCGCAATTGCACGGATGTTGCCAACTCGCACGCGCGTGTCGCTGACTTCTTCCGCCCAGAAGGCGGTGCAGCGCGCGCGATGGAGCTGGTGGTCAGAAGCCAGAGAGGTGAAGGCATGGGTTCGTTCTCCACGGTTCGTCTCCTCGCGCACCGTCTGGTGCAAAACTCGACCTGACCTGACCTGACCGTGATGTCTTTCTCACGACCTGAGCACGTCTGAGGTCGTGCGTTGTCGAGGAGAGCTCGCGGCAAGCGAGGCTGCCGCCCCGCCGGGCGGGACGGCGGAGGCTGCTCGGGAAGAGATCCCGTGCGAGACTGCGAGGGCGCGGACCTCGAGGAAAGGGGCGGTCGCAGGAAGCGGAAGCTGCTCGGGCGAGCGCTGCTTAGCGCAACCTTGCGATCAGCGCTGCGGCACACTCCGCGCGTGGCAGCGGAGCTATGGCACGAAACCCCGATAACCTGCGAGCGGTCCCCGGGGCGAAGGCGAACACGCACAGTGGTGGCCAGGGCGATGGCGTCGGCGGGGGCGTGCAGGCGAGGCGTGTGGGCGGCGGCGTATCGGCGGCGGCGTGCGTGCGAAGCCGGCGGGGGCGTGGGCAACTCCCCTGTCCCAGCGCCCCCCTCCACCACCTTCCGGTCATCCTTGTCCTCCTCCTTCTCCTCCTCCTCCTCCTCCTCCTCCTCCTCCTCCTCCTCCTCCTCCTCTCGCCTGACGCTTCAGCACCCGCACGCCATTCAGCCTCATGGGCAGGTAGCCGACGCCCTCGACCTCCCGAGAGGAAGAGCCGCAGCAGCAGCAGCAGCAGCAGCAGCAGCAGCAGCAGCAGCAGCAGCAGCAGCGACGCAGGAACGAGCAGCAGCAGCAGCGACGGAGCAGCAGGGCGCCAGGAGCAGCAGGGCGGCAGGGGCAGCGGGGCGGCAGGAGCAGGAGCAGGAGGACGCAGATGTGGGATAGGGGGGTCTTCTGGAGGAGGGCGGCGACGACGAGGAAGGGCAAGAGCGAGAAGGAGAAACAGAGGGAGGAGAGCGACGACGACGACGACGGCGACGACGGCGAACAGCTGCCGCCGCGGCGAAGAAGCAGCACGAGCGACGGAGAAGAAGGTCAGGAGGCGTCGCCACGGCACTTGACCTTCAGCCACTCGCCGTCCACGCACTCGGTGCCTCTCGCGGTGGCGCCCCACCTCAGGAAAAGGAGGGCCCACGGGGCAAGGATGGCAAGAAGAGGGGGCGAGGAGGAGGAGGATGATTAGGAAGAGGAGGAGGAGGAGGATGAGAAAGGCGAGCAGGAGGAGGCAACTTCTGGGAGGTGGTCTTCGTCGGGAAGATTCGGGAGAATGAGATCCCAATGGGTGGGGGTTACGTCGGATTACGCCGCGGATTAAGCGAGATCAACGGGGATTGAGCGGGATTAACTAAGCCCCGAGATCCCGGCGTCGCATGTTTTGTTCGAACCGGGCGTGTCTCGTGCAATTTCGGGCCCTGGCGCCCTCACAAGTCGATCCGGCGCGAAGGATGGCGCAGAAAGATGGGGTCTGGGGCTCAGGTCGTGACTCGTACGATGTTTCAATTTGTTCGTGCGGTCGGATCTCGGATCATGGTGGGAAGGGGAATATTGGGGAGGAAGGAATGGAGAGGGGGACTGGGAGTGAAGGAGGAAGGGCAGGAAGAGCGGAGGATGGACGATGGGGCGGACTCCGTGCGGACAGGAGGGAAAGGCGAGGGGGATCGAAGGGAGAAGTGGGGAGAGGATGGTGGGGAAGCACCTCAAGATATTTCCTGAGATGTCCTTGTCGTCGACATGCGTGCTAAACCGGAACTGGATACCTTGCGTATTGGCATTGAGTGCGCTGTTGTCTGCCATGTAAGTCACCTGCCTCTTCTCGTGGAGCCGCCGCTTCTCATCCTGGGAGGCTCACGCATTGACACCCCAACCACGATCGATGGCCACCTCCCTCGACGGGGCAGCGGCCGCCACTGGCGAATTTCTCGGGTGATCTCGATGCTGACTCCAAGAACGGGGACCATGGGGGAACCAAAAGTGATCCCCTAACAAACCACCACAACCTGACTCGAAGACCCAACTTTCGGGCTGGGGGGGCGCACGGGTTCCACACGTTTTTTCGGTGCTCCCCGGCGCCCCCCCCGCTGGGACTCGAGGGCAGACTGGGGCCTGCGGGTTGGGTTGGGGAGGTGTGCTGGGTGGTGAAAGAGGTACCGGTACGGCTACTCCCTGGGCCTCTCCCAGGGTGCGTTCTGAGCAGAGTCTCCAGGCTGATCCCTCCGTGGCAGCTGGGGCCCCCCAGGAGGCCCCCAAACAAGGCGAGAGCGGGGCGAACAGAAAAGGGCTGGGGCCACTGTGATTTGGAGGTGCGTCCCGCGATCTCGGTGGCGGTGCCAGCTCGTGAGGCCCTCCGAGGTCCTGGTCGTCCACGGCACGGCGCAGGGTGTCCTTCCCGAGACCACCGGCAGCACTGCCGAGCCTCGGCACCCCTGCCCCGAGGACCTGCCCCTGCTGCTCCATGAGCATCTCCACCTAATGGGCAGCGGTTCCACCACCACTACCATACGTAGGAGAGGGAGGAGGGGGAGGGGGAGGAGACAAGCTAGGTGCGCTCGCGTAGTGGGTGGTGGTGCACGTGCGTGCGTGCGTGCGTGTGTGCGTGGTTGTCGTGGTGGTGGTGGTGGTGGTGGTGGTGGTGGTGGTGGTGGTGGTGGTGGTGGTGGGGTGGTGGTGGTGGTGGTGGTGGTGGTGGTGGTGGGTGGTGGTGGTGGTGGTGGTGGTGGTGGTGATGGTGGTGGTGGTGGTGCTGGTGGTGGTGGTGGTGGTGTGGTGGGTGGTGTTGGTACTGGTGCTGTGTGGTGGTGGTGGTGGTGGTGGTGGTGGTGGTGGTGGTGGTGGCGGTGCGGCGCGGTGGTGGCGGGCGGATGGGCGCGCGAGAAAAAGGCCCGCGCTGGGGCGAGAACGCCATCCTGAACGACGGAGGCCAAACACCGATCCGAAAATGAGGCCCACGCTGCAGCGGGAGCACGATTCGGAACGATTCGGGAGCAGAAATGAGGCCGGCGCCTCAACGAGAGCAGCATTTTGGGAAAAAACGACGCCGGCGCCTCAGCGAGAGTCGTTTCCCAGGATTTCCCGGGCGTCCTGTGTAAAAAACAGTACGCGGGGGGTGCGCGGCCATCACCCGGACGCCATCAGGGGAAGAGGGAGAGTATATTCATATTGAGTAATTGTTGAGTAATTGTAGAAGGAAGGAGGAGGAGGAGGAGGAGGACGAGGAGGAAGGAGGAGGAGGAGGAGGAAGGAGGGAGAGGAGGAGGAGGAGGAGGAGGAGGAGGAGGAAGGAGGAGGAGGAGGAGGAGGAGGAGTTGGAGGAGGAGGAGGGGAGGAGGAGGAGGAAGGGTAGAGAGGAGGAGGGAGGAGAGGAGGGGAGGTGGAGGAGGAGGAGGGGAGAGAGAGGAGGAGAGGAGGAGGAGGAGGAAAAGAGGGAGGCGGAGGAGGAGGAGGAGGGAGGAGGAGGAGGGGGGGGGAGGAGGAGGAGGGAGAGAGGAGGAGGAGGAGGAGGAGGAGGAGAGGAGGAGGAGGAGGAAGGAGGAGGAGGAGGAGGAGGAGGAGGAGTTGGAGGAAGAGGAAGAGAAGCAGGAAGGGAGAAGGAGAAGGAGAAGGAGGAGGAAAGCAGGAAAGGAGGAGGAGGAGGAGGAGGAAGACCTCCCCATCCTCCCTTCTCCCGCATCCTACCTATGGTAATGATGGCGAAAAATTGCCCCATCACCACCTGCCGCTGCAGCGCCTCCCGCGCCTGGCGCTCCAGGCGCAGCGAGGCCGCCAGCGAGGCGGCCTCCGCCGTTGCCGCGGGGGCGACGGGGCCCCTCGCGGCGCCTCGGCTCGGAGACAGCGGCCGGCCTCCCGCGGGGAGGACGGGGCTCGCCGCGAGGGCGTCGGGGCGCCCCGGGGAGCGACCGGGGCTGCGCGCCTGGCGGCGGGCAGGGCCGTCGACGGCGTGGGCCCCGCCTGGCCCTGCTGCGGCAGCCGCGGCAGCAGGAGACGCCGGCGGCGACCGCGGCCGCCAGGCGGCGGGGGACGCAGCGACGCTCAGCGGCGACCGGGGCCACAAGGGCGACTGGGGCAGGACGGGCCGTGGAGACCTCGGCCTCGGCGCCGGAGAGGCGTGCCGCGATGCCACGGGGCGGCGATCGTCCAGCGGCAGCAGGTGGTGGCGAGCCACCGGCACTGGGACGACCTGGCCGTCGAAGAGCACCTCCCGGGTGGAGTCTGCATTCACGCTCACGACAGTGCCGCTGTCGCCCTCGGAGAAGTGCTGGAAGGTCAACCCAGGCTTCACGCGCACCCGCGAGCCAAGCAGCAAGCTGGCATCACTGCCGTGGCCATAGGTCCCTGGCGACGTGAGATACACCGGGGACGCGGGTGACGCAGAATGTGTGTAGCCGACCCTGCGCATCACACCACCAATTGGCCGTGAGCAGCCCGTGCCTCGCGGAGAGCGCCTCTGCTGTATTGCACCCTTTTCTGGATGCAGTAAATTGTCTGGCTGGTCGAGCCCACCCTGATGTGGCTGCGAAGGCTGAAGATGACGATGACGATGGCGATGGCGGTGAAGGTGATGATGACGACAATGGTGATGGAGGTCTGCGCGGGGTCGCCCGCCGCCGCCGTTGCTGCAACAGCCGGCAGCAGCCCAGCGAAGCTGGCCAAATGCAAAACAAAAATCAATGCGTGGCGGGCTGTCGGGCCCAGGTCGAATTCGATGAAGATCAGCTGCTGAGCACATCTGAAAATCTATGGGGCCTCTGCGGGACGTCTTGGGCCTGTCTGGAGTCACTTCCCAGCCCTCGGAAAACGGCCTCGGCTCGTCTTGGAACCAGTGTGAAACAAAAGACAGCTCACGCCCATCCATGTGCGCCACCTTCGTCCTGCCCGCTCTTGGTTCCATTCCTCGTAGTCCTCCTTCAGCTCTTCCTGTCCTCGGCCTCCCTCGTTTTACGTTGAGCGGACTATGATTGGATCATGGCATCATTTCTTTGCGCGTCCTCCTCTTCCTCGTCATCCCTCCTCCCCCAAGAACTCCCGACAACCCAATACACCTGGAGCTTCTAAAACCTCATCCTCCACCTCGTTCTCGCCCTTCTCACACTCCACATTCCCCTCCTCGTCTTAACTTCTCCCCCCTTCTACGCGTGACTTCCAGTATCCGCCTCACCCGCTCACCAAGTCATGGGAGGAAGGCCTATGGGTGATCTCGGCGCCGTCACGATCCAACTGCTGCCGGTGCTGGCCGACTTTGACCTGGCACGGGGGAGGGGTGGAAAGGACGAACAGGAAAGCTGGCACGACATGAGCGGGCTCTGAGGGACACGGGTCCTGGACTCCAGAACCTCCCTCCCCCCCGACCAAATTCTCTTCCTGAACCGTTGCTGTTACTGTTCCGGGGACCGTCGAGGGCCCCAGGCGTCAAGCAAGAACAGCAGAGCACCTGCAGGATCCGTGGCCCTCTGAGGACCCGTGTGCCTCTTGGCGAGACGAGAGCGATGACCCAGACTCACGTTGGGTGACCCAAAAGGGGGTCCAGCTGAAAAGGGGTGGTGCGATAGGTTTGGGAAAATTGGATTGCAAATGTGTTGCGCCGGAGAACTGTACTGCGCTGTATCGCAAGTAGTGTACTGCACGCGAAGATGCAGCAATCCGTGTGCGCCCCGAAGTGTATCGCACGCCCCGAACGTATT